TAGTCTTTTGTGCAATTGATTTAATCAAGTTACTTGCCAAATACTAAGATCACTAGCAGAGAAAGATTGAATTTATTTAATTTTTTTTAAATGAGTTTTTTGGTGGATTCTGGAAGGGAAAAATATAGCATAAGCAACTGTAAATCAAAGTTGGAAAAACATCTAGGTATTTTTTTCTTAATTTAGTCACTTTATTGGCCAAGTACTTCGTAGTTTCTGTATGTTCAGTTGGTAGATGACAAATAATTTGGGTTTTTTTAAATATTTGTTCTATTTTTACAGCTAAGAGACAGCTGCTACTCTTGAAATGTAGGCAAATTTGATCACTTTGTAATTAGACAGAATGAATGAATCAAGATGTGGTGAAAAGTTCTATTTTTGTTTCTGCATAGAAAGCAAGGAAAAATGGCAGAAAACTTACCACGGTCTAAAGAGGTGGGCAGTTTGAATTAATGAATAAACAGAGCCAGACAAACCCTGGGGACAATGAATTCCTACTAGAATTATATTGCCTTTTAAATAGGAATTGTCCTGTAGAAACTTCATTTCTATGTGCATAAGTCTCTGATCTTTACTCTGGAATGCAGAGATATTGAGGTCCATCTTCACTGGTCTATCTTTTGACCCTTTGTTCCCTTGCCAGTTCTGCTTTGTTTTTGTTGTATTCAGGATGAGAACTCTTACTTGTGCTTCTATAATTTCCTATTACAGCTACCTGACCTACTCTTTCCTCTTTCTGTTCTTTCTGCTAGACTCCATTAAAAATGACTTCCAAAGAAATGTGGACAGAAGTGGCCCAGAACTTTGTTGTGTGTTACTTGAAAGTTCCTTGTAATAATCCTTTCTGTGTTGCTTTCCTCTTGATGAAGTTCAGATTTACTCCCACAAGTATACGGTTGTTGAAAAACCAAAACAACTGAACAACAACAAACACCCCAAAACCCAACAAAAAAGCTCCACCCCAAAACAAAAAAAATCCCTTTATATTTTTGTAAGCCGGAAGTGAAGTAACGGGAACAGACAGGTGTTTCTTGTCAAAACATGAAAGGAAGGAAAAGGAATCTATTTAAAGCAAGGAAATTATCATTCTCATTTTACTTTTCCTCCAAATCCTCTCTTTTAGAACACAACTCTGGTCTAGACCATGCACAGTGAAAAAATCAGATATATATTCAGGCTTGTTTGACAGTTTCACAGGCTGGTTTTTTTTGTTGTTGTTTGTCTTCCAAATAATGACAGCAAAATTGTTTAGATGGTCAGCTTATCTTACTGCAAGAGATATTCATAAACCTCTTGCTTGCTGTAGTCCAATAGTCTGAGACACTAGTGCCAGAACTGAACGCTAAGTTTTTTCCAGGCATGGCTACTGAGGTATAGGCAGTCATATCTGAAATCTCCAATTGCATTGAAATCATCCATGCTCACTGTTCTTAACTTATCAGCAGAAAATCCTTCGTTTTCTTACAAAAGTCAAACATAGTCCTTTCAGAGTATTCTCTGAACTGTGCTCGTTAAGCCTAGATAAGACCATTTGCTAATTGCTGTCACTTTTGCTTTTGGAATTTGACCTTTAAAGCATCATCTTTAGAAACTCGGTATAATAAAATTCCATGCTTTTATATTGATTTAAAACTTTTTTCCCCGTCTGTCTTTTACTTACTTTTTTTTATAATTCCTCCCAGAAACTGAATGGCATGTGCTGTTTAAGTGCAGGGCAGCTATATTTAACTTAACTAGGATGGAAACATTTGGAGAATATTTAACTTTTCTTTTAGTAATTCATTAGAGAAGCCCAGGAGAATTCTGTTTTCCCATAACCAGACTGCTCAGTCATTCTGTGAGAAGGGACAAGCTGGTGATATAAACTGCCTACCTTAAAGCTGTTTAAGGCGTTTGAATAGCAGATTTATGACCACACAAATTTCCAGTTGCATTAAACAACTGAATTGCAGTTTCTTCTGAACTGGCATAATGAAAACTCCTCAAAGTATTTTTTTGAGATTTCATTCTCTATGACAGAGATGGAAACTTCGTGGGATATGTCTTTTGAAACAAATAATTCTTGCTAGAAGACAGTCTGCTGCCTGAGCATGCCTGGTATTCTCTGTTTACCTGATAAAACGCTAGCTTGCTACACTACCCAAATTTTTAATGCACATGTACAAGCAGTTCCTTTTTTGCCCAGTTTCAAATATGCTGAGGCTGATGTTTCGTCTCAAACAGGATTATGTTTTTTAATGTCATGCCCTAGAAGGTCAGTGGTCTGAGGGACATCAGGACAGGTGGAAGAAGCAGTGTAGTGAAATGTTGAAAATGAGAGTGTTTCAGAAAGCTGTTTGTCAGGCTGTATTCCTTTGAGGTCAAATTGGAGCAAGTAATAGCAACTCTTATACAGTGGAAGATAACTATTAAATTTGCTTGATTATGTAGGCTTTGGGATGCTTGAGGCATTACAGCATTAGGCAGAGAATTAGTTTTAGTATTAACAGTTCGTGGTGCTACTACACTCTTCTACCGTAGAGGTTAAAAATTACTGGTTTGGCATCATGTCATCTGCATTTTGGCTTTCCTATAGGGAGGGGGTAAACCCCATAACCATTAGAACTGCATTTTGCATTGTAGACTGTTTAAAAATGGAGGAGAGAGAAAAGGAAGGATCCTGCTTTCAATATAGTTAATGTGTGCTGTATGTATGAATTTTATTATGCTGTTTGGCCATTGATTTATATTTCTTGTTTGAAGGTAAGGTTCTAATCAGGAATGAGATTCCTTTTCCTTATTGACTTTTCTCAGAATTAACACTGCCTGCTGGACTGTTTCTTAGAAACATATAACTTGCTTCAATAGCTAATTTTGCAAAATCAGTCTTTTTTGGTAGTGGAGGCTTTTCATCACTGCTTTGGCTGTTTGTGGACAACAGCTCAAGAAAACATTGAGAATATGTATTTCGATGGAAGAAGATAGTGTAATTAATGCAGAAAACAATTTTCAGTGAATTTATTGTAGAAATAATTGGATTGTTTGTACACCTATACAAGCAAAAATGGTGCCTATTTCTTTGTTTAGTTTAGACTTTGCAAATCTAGCAGCTCTTTTTTTGCATCCTATTTAGATGGATAAATTCTACAGGGTTAATATTATTGATGCTTTCAGGGAAGAGAAGTTGTTACGCAAAATTATTAATGCCTTCAGTAGAATGAGACTACATCTTAAAAACTTGTTATACTGCATGCTTGCACTGTAAGAACTGAAGCCGATTTTTCTAGTGTGCACTTGGCTACAGTGTTATAGATGGCAAATGAATAAAATGTCAAAAGGATGCTTGTACATAAATACTTTAAAAGGACACTGATGTACTTTAAGTACATTGGAATGGAAATCTGTAATGGAAAACATCTCATTTCAGACATTTGGTGAATGGTGGCTCATCATTGCTTGTGCTTAGATTAAAAAAAAAAAATAAAAAATCAGAATGTTTAAATAAAGTACCTAGTTATAATTATGATTATTTCAGAATGCATTTTAAATCAAGGAACTGTGCTTTCATGTGCACATACTTACATGTATTGTGTATTTATTTTTAAATGAAAAGAAACCTGGTCTCCATCTTCCTGTTGACATCAAACAATCCTCTGATATGCAAATCCAGCTATGGGGAGAACAGATACACAGGGTTTGTTTGGATTCAGTCCAAGACTGCAAGAGAATTATATTTAAAGAAGTAATTTATATGCTTTGCCTCATTTAAATGAAAATGCATTTTGAAATAATCCCTATAACTAAACACGGTTTGGTGAAATGTTACGATCCTTTGCATGACTGATACATTTTGCTATGTTTAGTTTAAAAACATCTTGTACTCCTGCATGTGTCTCTAATGTGTAGGTGCATCTGTCGACTTCCCAGTGGCACATTTTAGTATAGTATATGAAAATATTTTTATTTTTCCAGAGTAATAACTGTTTCTTACAGGAACTTTCTTAGGATATTCACGAGTGTGAAGTGTGTGTTTATACATATGCTATTAAAATAGATTTAAGTACTTTGCTTTCCATCTAAAATTTTGCTAATATTAATGTTATTGTATTTCCTTCGTGCATTTAACGTAAAAATATGTCAAAATGGGAAATCTTTAAAAAGAGAGACTAACTGAGCAGCATTTTTTCAGTTATCTTAGCTTTAGCCACAAAATTTATAATGATCAAACTTGAATGTTTTAGCATTGGCTGAATTCCAGGTTTTCAGTGTGTATTTTTGGAGGACTGTGTCATTCCAGTCCGTGAATGTAATATTTGAAGGAGATATGTGTAGCAGAGCATAATTATGTTTAACGTAGGCTTTAACAGGCTATTGAACTGTAACCAGTGATCGGTAATGGTCGTTCATACAGGATGGAAGATATGTGAGCAGGAGTTAGATAACTCTGAAATTGTCAGAAATCACAGTTCCTTTAGTCCCCTTTTATGTATTGCAGAAGTTTCCAAGACTAACGCGATCAACTCGTCGTAACATGATCTTTCGTTGTCCTTGTGGGTCACTACTATCATTTTTTTTTTTTCTTCTATTTTGAAAATGAGTGTATGGAAATCCATGTTGGTGTAAGGAAGTGTTTAATTTGGGAAGCTTGTGGCACACACCTTTATATCTGACCTTTGTTTGTTCTGTGGCTGCTTACTCTATGCAGACTGTTCTGACTGCGTTAATCTTGCACTGAGGATTGCTAAATACTATATAAATATTTCTTTTAGGATGGCAGCTTTATTTCATTAATGTCATGTGTGGCTCTATGTGTTGACTGACAAGCACATACGTTGATGGTGCATGTGTTAGTATTTAAGGGAAAAGCTTTCTGTCAAGAAATTTTGCTAAACTTTTCTCAGTAGTTTGGAAGCCTCTGTTGTTTGGTTTTTAAAGAAAAGATTTGCTTTCTTTTCTTATTTTAGATGTTTGGTGCAAATTTTAGATTTTGATATTCAGTGTCCATCTTTTTTTTCTTTAAGCATTTTAAGAAACAGAAGAGGTTGATTCCTGAAAGAACAGTTTGGAAGTACTTTGTTCAGCTTTGCAGTGCCTTGGAACATATGCATTCTCGTCGTGTTATGCATAGAGGTAATACAGGATCAAAGATGATTTGTCTTTACTAAACCTTTTACTGTGTGAGAATTAAACTATTTCAATGCCAATGATGCCAAATAACATTATAATGGAATTGATTTTGGCAGCTGACACAATGCGTGTGTTTTGTAAGTAATGAAAAAGTGTGACAAGTTCGTGGTTGTACATTTGTTGTGGTAAGCATTTGTTTGCAGCAATGGCTTGTGATTTTTTTTTTTTTTGGTGAGTTTTCAAAATAAGTCATAGTTCTGTGATGGAGACCCTGCACTGCTGCTTCTCTGCTCGCTCAATTCATTTTGCTGGCTCTTATTTTCTATCCTGTTCTGTGTTTTCTCATTCTCTCTCCCATTACCTGCACGCTTGCACAGCTATCCATATATTCTTTTCACCTCTTGTACCTTTTTTTCTTGCAAAAGTATTTGTCTCCTGCAGTGCTTTTTGGTGATGTATAGGCTTATCTCCCATTCCCTTATTTACTGGATTATGTCCAGCCATGAGAATTTTCTCTCCTTCTCTGCTCCTCTCTGCTATTTCCAATCTCTGTGTCAAGTACTGTGTCCCAACAGCCCTTGTAGATGCCAGGTAACCATGTCAGGTACTAAATCTCTTTTACCCATTTTAAACCTCTCTACTGCTGTCTCCTCTGTTTGTTGTCTTCATTTTACCTGGTAACTCTGAGTCAAATAAAACAGATGTTGGTATAGCTGCTTCTCAGATGGTACCATTTCTTTTACTCTGGAAATCCCTCTGGCTATGAGTTTCAAGCTGTGTATGGGCTGTCTTTTTGGGTGCAGGTGAAATTGTGTGTCTTAGGTTGGTGTCTTCCTTCTGCTGGGATGTGAATAGCTGCCTGAAAGCAAAAGTCCATCTATCTCTGCTGAGCTTTGTCATTTGTAACTGGAGATGTTGCACTCTTCAGCAGATCAACTTTGATGCCCCTGCCCTTGCAAATAGCTTTCTCTCGTGTTTTTCCTTTTTTTTTTTCTTTTTCCCCTTTGTCCATTTGTACAGATATCTGCAAGTGCAGATTACACAAAAGACATAGATTTACAGATTCTTTCCACAGGGTATAGGTATCTTCCTTTAATACTTTTATAACTAAAGTAGTTTATTTCAGTGTATTTTAGTTAAAAACCAAAATGAGTTTAAACTTCTTAAACTGAAATACAATCTTCAAAGCTTCTGGCAAACCTGTATTGCAAATCTAATGATTCCATGGTTACACACCAAAGCCAGTGACAACTGAAGCTATTTTAGAGTTTAGCTGGTAGCAGTGTTGGATTGTTACACAAAGGTGATACAAACTCCTGAAAACTAGGTCAGATAGCTGCATAACATAATTGTTTCTGTCTTCCTCTGTTGGGCTTAGAAGCTTCTGTAACTTTTTATTGGAAACCTGAGAATTCTGGTGTTTGAAGGGTTATTAACCATTCCTTTTACTATACCTGTATCTTATGCAAACAGTAATGCCCTTGTGTCGAAGTTAAGAGATTTTCTGTTAATTTCAAGCCACAATGTATGGCTATTGAGCTGGGTAAGAGCTTAAGCACACTTTTTAAGCAAATACCAGGTCAGTTTGTTTAGAAGACTAACAGGACAGGTACCTTGTTGAAAATGATAAAATAAAAATCTTTGCTGTTTTCTCTAAAGGTTTGGGTTAAAACTTAAACTGACTGTTACTTGTGAAAAATAGCTGTCTAGATATACATCATTATTTTTCTTTGTTTCTACTTGGTTAGGTCAATTCCACTGACAAGTTCAAATAACCATTCTCCTGAGTAAAACTTGCTTTTTTTCAATGTCTGCTATTAAAGAGAATCAGTTACCTATTTCAAATAAAGAACATCATGCCACTGTGGGTAATCTGATCAGCAAAAGTGATGAAAAATGTTTTACAGTTCTTAAACATTTTTGGTCTGTTACTTAAAACATAATCTAGTTCTAATGGAAGTCATTATGTAGCTTATATAAGGTTGTAACAAACTCCCTTTGTATGCTTCCTTGGGTGTGGGGTGGGTGTGAGGTGTTTTGTTGTTATTGTTTGTTTGTTTGTCTGCTTGTGGTTTTTCTCTTTTAAATACTTTCCATGGCTCTTGATTTCCTTTTTTGAGTGATGTTTGTACTATTAAAATAGTTAATTTGAAATTCTGAGTCCCAGACTGCTCTTTCTGAGCAGCACAATCAAATTTTATTAGAATTATCTGTAAATAAAACCCTCTTTCAGTCTATTATTAATAGAACAGTAGCTTTTTTTGCAGTCTCATTGTGACTTTTAAATTTATTATTTTTTCTCCCCCAGATATAAAGCCAGCCAATGTGTTCATTACAGCTACAGGGGTAGTAAAGCTTGGAGACCTTGGACTCGGTCGATTTTTCAGCTCCAAAACCACAGCTGCACATTCTTTAGGTAAGCTTCCTCTGCAGTACAGGTGCTGGGGAGGTGTATTTTTTCTGCACAGTGAAAATATTGTGCCCACTCATGAGACAGAAGAAAAGGGTTTGCCCTAACTAAAGCTTTTCTTAATAATAAAGCAAATGGTCAGCACTGTGGACAAATAGAGACAAGCTGTAGCACTGAGGTGTTACTTTCAGCTGTACAGCTCATGGTTTGGTGTGTTATTCCTGCTCCTCCACAAATGATTTGAAGTGATTTGTTCTAATCATTTAATGTTCATTCCTGGATCAAAACAAGTCTTCGTGATAGTTTTATTTTCTCAAAATGCTAGGAAAAAAGGACATATGGTGAGGGGTAATGGTTTTAAACTAAAAGAGGGGAATGGATGTGAGGGAAAAAACCTTTTTACAGTGAGGGTGGTAAAATACTGGCACACGTTGCCCAGAGAGGTGTTGGATGCGCCATCCCTGGAGACATTTAAGGCCAGGCTGGATGTGGTTCCAGGCAACCTGATCTAGTTCAAGATGTCCCTGCTCATTGCAGGAGGGTTGGACTAGATGAGCTTTGAATGTCCCTTCCAACCCAAACTATTCCATAATTCTGTAAGATTGATACGCATTTTTTTAAGGTCACTTGAACTTTAATCAGTGTTGGAAATAATCAAGTAATTCACTGTACCTGTGTGGGTAGAATTGAAGACATGTTGGTTATTTGCTTTGAAAGGAGCTTCCCTGTTTTAAGGTGGAGTTACTCAATATAAGCTGAGTAAGTTAAGAAGAGATCAGAATTAGGCTTTATGAACCATAAAAGTTTAGAAAGAAAACAAAAAAAGCCCCAAAGCAAACAACAAAAGCAAATCCCAGAAAATTTTTTTGAAATGCCAGATTTATTTGCTAGCACATATAAAATAACAGTGGTGTATTTTATTTTGGTGGGGTTTTTTTTTGTTTGTTTGGTTTTTTTTTTTTTCCCCAGAAAAATAGCAAACCAGGACACATCGTCTTTTTCCAAAAAATTTTTTTTCATTTGATTTGCATTTTTTGAGAATCATGTGGAGACTAGGATGATTAACTAGCCTTTAAAGAAGAAAAAGTAAAAGTTTGGCAGCTATTTTAAGTTTAAATATAGGGAATGGACAAATGACAGAATCTAAGAGGATCTCTCTGAAAGCGAAAAGCCTTGTAAATAGAGTAAGTAGTATCTGTTTTAAAGAGAAGTGTAAGAATTAGTGTTTATGGTAAAGTTATGTAGGCTTTTTAGTTAAGAAAAAAAACCTTTTCCCCTGCTAAAGTGGGACTGTTGAGTGGTTGCTGAATTCAAGCCTGTTCACTGAATGCAAAGGGTGTGAAATGAACTTTTAGACCCCTCAAGAGTAGAGCCATTGATGGCAGCAACCAGAATTGTCTCCTCTTCCTTGTAAAGGGTATTGAGGCAGACAGAGCACCTCAGTGGTACTTGAAGAGAGATAAGTAAAATCAATTCAAATGTTCTCAGTGAGAATTTTTCACAAATGACAGTTATAATTCTGTAATTAAGCATTTGGATATTTTTATATGTTTGATAAGAGTACATTATAAGGAAGATAATATCTAAGAAAGCCAAGAATGGTTAAGTAATACCTAAAGTGTGTTCGCTCAGATGCTGACGTTTCTAATTAAACTATGAAATATCAGACTTCTTGGATTAAAATATGTTGGTATTATCCTCACCTCTTAATTTAACTTTATTCAGATAGTCCTAGTTTTCAGTACAGTGTGGAAAAAGAGAGAGGATTGATGTGCAGTATGTTTGTACCACATTTGAGGTGTGGGTGATACTGGTGTTAACAGCCCCAAAAACCTATCTTAGAAAGTAAAATTTTGATACAATCCTCACTTCTCTGTCTTCCAGAAAGCCTTGTTCATGTTTTTGTGCCTTTCTGGTTTGGTTGGGGTTTTCTTGTTTTTGTTTTTGTTTAGTTTTTTTTAACCATGTTTGGTACATACTGATATTGGTATAATCAAACCATGAGTAAATGCTGAGATCTTAATAGGAGTGAGGTGAAGCTCAGGCATGAATCTACAATCTTGCATTAATGAAAAAGAGAGAGAGAGACAGAGGAGGAACAGTGAGACCAGACTGGAAATGGGTTTGAGTTACACACTGAAGTTCAGATATAACCCTACAGATCTGATACTAGTTCATGGTGCAGTGTGTTATATAAAGTGCTGCTCTTTGTGCTGCTCTCTTAGCCTAGTGGCCACCTCTGGTAGCACTGTGGAGATCTTTGTACTTAGGTCCTGCTACTGCCTGCAAATGGAAGAAGGATGTAAACGAGCAGTGTGAAGATGAAGCTCTAAATCCTAATCTGTGGGTAGGAGTGCACAAAGAAGGCAAAAGTCACTTGTGAGAGCAGAAGAGCTAAATTTCTCTTCTGAGGCAGAAATCAGGAAGTTAATGAGGAAGAAACTGCTTCAGCCATGGATTATTTTGGCTTGTTGCGGGGGAATGGTTACAAAGGGACTGACGGCTGAGCTAGAGTTAGGAACAGTGTAAAGCCTCAAGCCCTTTAAAGTTCATCTCTTACAAATACAAGAGTCATCCAGAGAGTGGGGTGTAGGGGGATGGAAGCCTGGTTTCTGATGTTGGATGCTGCGTCTTGGTAGAGGAGCTGTTATTTTTTGGCTTTTATTTGGGTTTGGGTTTTTTGTTTTTTTTTTTTTTTTTTTTTCCATTTTATTTTTTTCCCCCCAATCTCCTCTTCTCCTGTTCCCTTTTAATTATGACCTAATGTCAGAATTCAGCCTAGGAAAAAGGTTTTGTTCAGCTGTTAATTTAGGCTACACTGGAGACAGCAACACCCTGTTTTATCGTGTCACTAGCAGAGACCACTTTTTTAAAATGAGTTTCTCATACTGTTTCTGTTGCTGGTTTTCCTGTTGTTGTATCTTTCAAAGCTGTATCTTTTTATGATTCCATAAACCTTTGGTGCACAAAACCCAGTGATGTACAAACATATATGTATATAGCAATTTATACTTGCTTACAGGCTTTATAAAAATTTCAGTAGCAAACTAAATTCAGGCTTTCAGAGATAAAGAAATGTACTAAAAATTTTATTAGCTACAGCTTCTAACTGCTAATTATGAATAATACTGATTTAATTAGAATACTTGCTGAAGGTCCACTTGAAACAACTGGAAATACTGCGCTGGTCAGGGTTTGTTAATGTTCTTAACTCTTTCTATACAGCCTTATCCAAACAGAATTTTCTGTTGTGGCATGCATACCTTTTTGAAAATAGAAAACACCTTTTCCAAAAATGCAAAAGAAGTGGAGGCATTTGGTATTGTTGATACAATACAAACTTGACAAAAATTCTTGTTTCCAGAAGCCTTTATATTAAAAAGGGGAAGATGATCCAGCAAAGGCTTCTTATTCCTTTCCCTATGACTGTGTGTTAGGGGTCTGGCTTTGGATTTTGTTTTGTTTATTTCTAATGGCTGAATGCCAGGCTTTATGCTCTTTGAAATGGCAATTCTGAGGCTAGCTCATGGAAATGTGCATTGTTTCATCTTTGTTAGCCATGCAGTGGATTTAAGGGTAGTCCATATTTTAGTATTTCAATTACAAAAAAATCACTTCAGTTTTCTTGTGTGGTTGTTAGAGGGCTGCACACTGTGCTGTCCAGGTGGACACTGCTACTATGATGTGAATACCCTCATGCAGGGCAAAGGCGCAGACCTTAAATCTTCTTAAAATGCTTGGAAGCAAAGGATCATCTGTATTGAATTCTGGTGTTTCTTCTGTGGTTTGACAACTTCTGTCATTTCCATAGTACTGCTGTCCCCAGCACAAAGCTCTGTTTTGAGCGATTTGACTGTAAACTCACACAGGTTGTGGGGAATAAAATACCCTGTAAAAATACGTGCAAATACTCTCCTTTTGTCTTACATATGGATCTCTATCCCAGCAGAGGGTGTCAAAAGCCAGTGCTGAGACAGTGGTATGCAGTACCATTTTGCTCTGAATACAGTAAGCTCCACTGTCATACTCTCAACCAAACTGTTCCAAGAACCTGCACCCTCCTTGTGCTTCTGTGCAGGAGGGTGCTTTTGTATGACTGCTGATTCATCACAGTCATTAAAGAGGCTGTATTGAAACAGCTCTTATTTTATGTATAAAAGCCTGAGCTCTTTTACAGGAGGTTGAAAGCTGAAGATGAACTATTGTGCTGTTCCAATGCTACAATATAAAGTAAACTGAGATACAGGTTGATTTCTGCAGTTAGATTATTTGCATAATGAAACTAGGTTGTAGATTACTTTGGATATTTTAGGTATTTTAGGTCCTGTATCTGTGGCTGAAGATGAGCCTATGGCTTAGAAATCTTCTACACCTATATTAAAATAAAGGAGTAACAAAAAAAGAAAAAATTATGGAGAATTTCTTGTCAGTGGCTGGTTGCCCTCTCTGTTCCGTAACTGCAGCTTAATTTGTCTTCAGCATGAACAATTCATCTTGTTAAACACTTGCATGTGTTGAACTCTGCATTATAAAATTCCTGTGACCTTATGGACATGGAGTCATTTATAAACCATATTGTTTCATTACTTAAATTTATAAATTTGGCCTGGTTTTTGGGTTGTTTGTTTTTTTTTGGTTTTTTTTGTTTTTTGTGTTGGTGTTTGGTTTTTTGGTTTATTTTTTGTCTTGTTGGTTGGTTAGGGTTTTTTTTTGTTTTGTTTTGTTGTTTTTGTTTTTTTTTTTTTTAACTGAAGTCTTGTTTTATAATTCTTTGACAATCAGAAGCAATGGGACTTACATGTTTATGCAGTTAGTATGATGGACTGTCATAATTCCCTTCTTCATAACTATTTCTTTACCTCTGAATCTTCAGATCCAGCTTCCTGCCCCCTAATAACCACCATTTCCATAATGTCCATTGCCTTTCCCAGCAGCAGAAAGCATGAACAAAGAAACACCACTTTATGGATCTGCATCATCTTTAAATGGAGGGAGCAGATTCTGAGGCAGCAGTTTGTTTGACACAGGCCATTTTCAAGGAGAATACTGTTCAGACCTGCAGGTTATCAGAGATAATGCAACTGCATTGAACAGAATGCTAAAGTTACAGATTTTGTTCTTAAAAATATAGGCATCTTAATGTTTTACATCTTTTTCTTGTATTATCCCACTTCCAAGTCTTCAGATGAGTAAGGGAAGTTGCATGTCTTTGTAGTATTGCAATGTTGTATTTCACTTAACGGGAGAAAAAAAAAAAAGAAAGATCCAGGAAGGAAACATACGGTATAGTCGCATCTGGTAATTGCTTGCCAGCAGTACAGCTATGTATCAGCACTGCTCACTGCTTTAAAGAATAGTTGCAATGCCATTAGTAGTTCCTGAATGTCAGAATAATGAGTCTTTCTTGTCATGTTCTGTTAAAAACAGTTTACAAGTAGTAGTAACAACCTAGATCTTTAGGTTGTTTTTGTGATTTGATAACTAACAACTAATTTCATTTCCTTTCACTTGTTGGTCATTGGGGGCTTCAGGTTATATTGCAGTTAAGGTGTTGTACTAGGCTAAACGCTGTAAAATGATAGCATTTGTTCTTCTTTTTCACTATCATCAATCTTTCACAGCCATATCAGACCCCTAATGTATCAGCAGGCTTCCCAGAGCTACTGGTTAAAATTATCTTTCCTTTTGGTAAAGTATGAACCTTCAAACCTCCGTGTTTTCAGCTGCCCCCTGTGGATTCTGTGAAGCCTCTTTCTGGCACATTACTCACTGCCAGCTACTTGTGTGATGTCTCAGAGCAGCAAAGGCAGTGCTGCTGTAACCAGCAAAGAACCAGATTACTTTTAAACTTATTATTTTTGTTGTTAGATGAATTCTGACAACAAAGCATCAGAATATACTAAATCAGTGCACTAATTAATGGATACAAAATCCAGCTGAAAGTTTTCAGAGGTATCCAAGCTCACAAGTCATTGCGGTGTAAAATAAAATAAAATTGCAGGGGGGAATACAACATTAAGGATAATAAAAGTATGAAAGCTGTGTCATGCCAACTGTTGTTTAATTAGAGTGTCCAATTTTAAGATAGCTGTCGTTAAACGCTCATTAAATTATTGCTGTTGATACATTAGAATAACAGAGTTGCTTCTGTATATTCTGGTAGCTATTTTGATGTTGCAGACCACCCATCTGCATGCCTATTCTTTTACAGGGAAAAGACCATCCCTCTTACTCATTCCTCTGTTGTGGGTGAATATGAACATCCCATGAGAGTAAATGGTTTTCACAGTACTCCATCATTTTGAGTTGCCTTTCCCTAGCTTTTCTTCCTTTAAGCTCTTGATCTCTTGCAGTCTCAGTTCAGAGCTGTAGTGATTCTTCAGGCTAGTGCTAAGGGAGCCTCTGGGAACAGGGGCTGTGGGACCCCCCTGAAATATTTAGGGGAACAAATCCATTGTAGGATGTGATATGGGACTTCATCTGTTAGAGAAGCATATTCTTAGTTTATATTGGTTTGGAATATTGTTTGCCAAGAAGGAGATCAGTTGAAATGATAGGTTACCAGCAGTAGTGGCCTGACGTGGGATAAGGTGGTACTGAGTTTCCCAGTCTAAGCTGGGTCTTGCAAGTAGGAAAGTATACCACCCTTCCCTAAGAAAGTATGACATAGTTTGAGATGTCAGCTTTTCTAAAAGATAGGGTATGTTGTCAAAGCAAACCCCTTAACTTTGGTAAGTGATTAGAGTAAGATTCATAATCTGATTAATTAAAACCATTGACCTGATTATTCAGATTTGGAATTACACACGTATTCACTGTATCTGTTTCCAGTTTTCATACGGAGATCAATTCTGAATAGGTGAGGCTAACTCTGAAGTGTGGAAGTGGTAAGAGATCTTTGTGTTAAAGAAAATAGTGCGAGGTTCAAACTCTAATTTTCATAGTTTGCAGTGAGACTGCTAGTGTTAATCTCTGGCTGCATTGCAAGAAGTTTAGTTTCGAAATAAGGTCAACTTGTGTTGAATTGACAGAATTCAGCTGATTTTCATCTTTAGGATTCAGTGCTCTAAGAAAATATATGTCCACACAAAATTGAAGCAAAAATCTATGTATATCTGTGACTTTTTGCTGTTAGGCAGTTCATTTTAGGAGAATATGAGGAGAAAGTTCAGGCAATGCACCAAAATTGCCATACTGTTATTTTCTATAACTTCTGGTTTTATTGATCTGTCACATATGAACCCATCACTCGGGTACCTGGGGTTTTTTTTAGTGGCTTTTTTTTTTTTTTTTTTTTAAACAGATCTTAAACATCTTTCATGATTTTTCTCTTCCAAGTAACTTGTAACACAGATGGGTAGTGTCTGATTAAAATCAAGGGGAGAGATGTCCTGGAGTATCCAATTTAAATTTGCTCTGGACAGTAGTAGTAAATGCTGCTTTTCAAGAGCAGACGTCTCCATAGCCCACAGCTCTGAGGCAGGATTAAGCTAGGACAGCCACGGATCTGGGACCTGAAAAGCCCTTGCAGAGTCTAGTCCTGCAGGTACTTGGGTTGCTTGTAGGAACCTCAGCTTCTGTTGGGCTCGGAGGTTTTCCTGCCTTCCTCTGTGGGAAGCTGAAGATTCTGGATTTCAGGCTCAATTTTAACTTCAGATATTCAAACGAAATTGTGTTTATCAGTTTCAAAAGCAGCTTTTTCAGATTTGTATATTCTCAAAAGGAAGAACAGACAGCTAATTTCAAAAATAATGCTACTAATAGAAAAATTCAAGCCACAAAAAGAATTTCTAGCTGTTATTTCCAGCCACAGTGATAACAGTTTGTAAAGGAGTGGGGACATGTGTGTGCATGCGTGTGTACTATGTTCCCTTGGTTCTCTTCAGAAGCAAATAATTACTTTTGAGCTTCTCTATAAGCAAAAGTTTTCTTTTGGAAGTGGAAGTATTCTACAACTGAATAAGTCTGGTATTTAGATATCAGTAGTGAAAATAAAGCTGCATTGGAAGAAATGGATATATAATTCATATGTATTTCTTTCAAACTGAAGAGTCATACTTAGGGATTGAAATTACGTGTGTCGCAAAATAAGAAGTATAGAAAATGAAGAATGTTTTTCAGCCAGGAAATCTGTACTTTTACTACTATATAAGAGAAACTTTAATTCAAAAATACTTCTGTATTTATTGCAGTTGGTACACCCTATTATATGTCTCCAGAGAGAATACATGAAAATGGTTACAACTTCAAATCTGACATCTGGTCTCTAGGCTGTCTGCTGTATGAGGTAATGTTGATATATACAGTGAACTTAATAACACTGTTGTGCTTCCCCTTGCCCCCCCTCAATGTATTAAGTACTGTTTTAGGATCTAATGCTATATTTTTATTGTTTAGGAAAATTTGTAGTGTTGTGGAAAAGCTACTTTTCATCTATCACACGTCTGTAATATTGGCAATAAGAACTCTTATGTAACTTCAGCATATATATGAAATACTTTTAGCTGTCTGTCATTCAACACTTGCCTTTTACTGGGCTTGTTACAAAGATTTTAAAGCAATTTGTTAAAGATTGGGCATAACTGAAGGATTAATAAATAAATAATGGCAAACACATGTAAAATTATTCTAGGCGTTTTAATGACCTCTCCTGGTTACATGATTTTGGTAATAAATGCATTGAGAAATAGTATGACTGACTTGAGGATGCAACTGTATTGCAAAAACTGCAATATAGTAATTGTAATACAAGTTTAAGTTATTAAAAATTATTTACAACCTAAGTAAAACAACAAAAATAGTGGGCTACTGTATACTTACTACTACTAGGAGGGGTTAACTTTCAAGATAATGACTTCTGCTGCACTGAACTATGCTATTTTTATACTTTTCCTTCTCCTCCAAATGGTAAACTATAATTATTGGTTAATTTCTGTAATCATACAGTCAACACTGGGAGGTGACACGTAATTTTAAATATTACTGTATTGTGAGAAAATATAGGTATAGGACAAATAGAAATGGAGGTGAATGAAGGTGTGAAGAACAGGTAGGCTTCTAAGGCAACTACATCTTCGAAGTTCTTGTAATATCATTTGTTGATCAAAAGACTAAACACTTGTGTTGAAGGATGCTGGAAAAAACTTGATTGCTGATGAGCGATTGCAGTGAAGTCTTTCTAGTCATGTTCCAGATAAAAACTAATATACCCAACTCACTTTTCACTTACCTACAAGCCACCTGCCTCAGTGAGCCAGTAGAACTCATTCAACACATACTCAATAGGTTTGGCGCCTCCTGTTTGGCGCCTCCTGTTACCTTAGGATTTTATAGAAAACATTGTCACCCTGTTAAAGTTATATATTACTACTAGGTGAATTGTCTCCAGTGATATTAGTTTACTTTCTGTCACTAACATGTTGCTTTAAATATAGAAAGGGCAAATAGCCGTATTGCAATTCCACACAGTTTACATATCTATATATAGCTCTTGCTTCTAAATCTTGGGGACAATTCACAGGAATGAAGTCCGATACCTGATAGCAAGCATTTAGAAGCTTAAATCCTGAACTGAAACTTAATCCCATATTGGGATTCCTTAGTCCTGACCATGGCAACTGCCATCAATTTCAATGCTCTACTTCACACACTTGCGCAAGCAGAAGCCTAAAGATAGCATAAAGGTAGATGGGGATTTGTCAGTATTACTACTTCTTTTGCCCTCATTGATTTTTATTGAGGATTTTTTATATTTGGAAACAAACAAACCAACCCCTTGAGTAACTGAATATTATATAAAATAAACAAGTTTTAAGGTTAATTTTTCTTCTGTGTTACATGGAATTTCTGGATAGAAATCAATAGCACTTTTCTAAAGATTTTTTAGCTTGCTGCTTTGATGCTGGTACAGTATATTGAACACCTATTTGAATATTAAATTTTTCTTTGATCTGGTAAATAATTTCGAAGTAGTGAAATACCTTAACTCCATTGATTAACTCAGCAGCCTTAAATATCATTCTCTTTTTATTTATTTTAGAAGTTTTACAGCAATGGTATTTAAGTTGATAGGGAGTTGCATGTGGGGTTTTTATTGTAAGAAAAGGATAATTATTATGATACTCATTGTATACAATATTATTATTATGCATATTATATATGGCAGTGCCTTCAACTATAGAATTTTTGTTTTTTAGAGGCACATTTATCTCAGTTAATTATACACTGTTTGTAGTGAGGTTTTTGCTTTTGGTTTGGTTTTCTTTGAGTATTGAGATGTAAATCTCAATCTTTCGTAAACTCAAAATATATGCTTGGATTTTATGTTTTTTGTTGCATTTTATTTTTTTGTTGTCAAATTACGTGAAAGTGGTGATTTCAGGTTCTTCAAGATGTGTGGACTAATGCATGCTATTTTTATTACCTGTGCAGTTTTGTGCTGGGTATCTTTGTGACATGCATTTTGGCATGTTTTATTATATTGATTTCATGTTGATATGTGCTTATATATGCTCTGGATTCTCTCCATCTTAATGGAGAAAAGCTGTGGCATGTTTATCACTTCTCAGTAAATGCTTAATCGATGCTAAACTCTTTTCATTTGTTTTAATTTAAATTTAGACTAATTTGATATGATATATGTTGTCTTTAAAAATCATGATTTCTAATCTCTCTTGCTCTCTATTATTCGACGCTAACTATGTGGCCAGTAAGATTTTTAAAAGTATATTTAAAAGTCTGTTTTTCTTAGAGCACCTGGTATTTCTGAAACCTCAAAAACACTACCAATGGAGTTTTAATTGATATGCAACAAAGTAGACTTTACTAATTAAAATCAAGATGCTGTGCTTTTGCTACATGGACCTTTACATGGAAAAGTAGGTCTTATACATTTCCTTTTATTGTTCAGCGTAGCAATCGCATCCTTACAGGGTTGTAGGTTGGTGGCTTACAGTTCAAAAAAAAAAAAAAAGGGAAAAAAAAAAAGAGGGGAAAAAAAAAAAGAGAGAGAGGGAGCTGCCACCAGCCCTGAAGACAGACAGTGGGCTTTCGTCCCTCAGACACCCCCAGAATACTAATCAGGAAAGTCAGACCCTGGAGGTCAGGGAGCAAGTCAATCATTCTAGCGATCGTCTCAGTGTGGAGGATCAAATTAGCCTGAAAAATTCAGCTGCTGGGAGGAGAGGGCGAGCAGCTGTCAGGGGCAGCAGCGAGATGCACTAATGAACCAGATGAATAGTGCAAAAGCTTGAAAATAAAAACAGGACAGTTGACATTTTTCATCTGTCAAAGCAGGAGATGCATGAAAATATAGTATTCCTGTTTTAACTCCTTAGGGGACATTCAGAATTTTTTTAACACTCGGCAGCATTCAGACAAAAGTACTTTTTAATGAACACCTAGAGTACGAAAATGAGTATCTGTGCATTTATTTAGCATTTTGCATGCATACAAGACCCTGCAGTTGATTTTTCTTTTTCTTTTTCTTTTTCTTTCCTTTTTTGGTCTTTAGCTTGCATTTTTAACATTCTTTTTAAGGTAAGAGACAATGTCATGTAAATCCAGGAATTAACATTATTTTGGTAATACAGAATTTTTGGGAGGAGTGTAGGATGGAACTGTAGTATAATATTTGTATTGGGAGCTTTGAAATTACTTATTCTTACTTGAAGGTAATATGAAAAAGTACTGAGCTATTTGAGAACATTTTTATCAGATATCAAGTGAGTGTAAGAGAATTTTGGTAATTTTCCTCATACATTTCCCCCCCATGATATTGGTGCTTAGACATGAAAGAGTTAAACTGCTATCTGGAAGACCACAAGACAGATGAGAGCCATTTTCAGCTTGTCCTGTCCCTGCTGAAGCTCACTGAGTAGCACAGCATGGACTAGCATGTTTCACACACACTCTGCCTGTCTGGGGAATGTACACATTGTCCTTCCAAAATCAAACTTATTAGCACATGTAGAAAAGGGTGACTGACTTTGGGGCAGCACTGCACTCCAAGCAGCATTCGTGTTGCTGCGGTTCAAAGACTTAGAAGGCTTTGAACAGAATGGAGAGGTTTTAAATGAATTTTTAGATTTGTAATCCTGCTAACCATAGCATTTGTTTCCACCTTAAATGTCAAGTTGTAACACTTTGAAATAAAGCGTAGGTTTACTAATGCTGGGTTTAAGCAAGAGCTCTCCAACAGATACTCTTATTTTTGTATTACAGTTGTAAGTTACAGTCATAGGTGCCAGTTCTGCACTTCTGATGATGTTTTGGGATTTATTTTTTTAATTATTGTCAAATAACATACTGAATTACAAAGTTTTGGGGGTTGGATTTTTTTTTTTTTTAGGTGTAGATGTTACCTTTAGTGTTCTTGCTTTAAAAAAACCACAATTGTATCAAAGTATAGTGTAATAGTTGTGGAAGTTTACAAAATCTCCTACTGTTATCCAGCATTTCCAACGTAAGTTATTGCTTTAGATCAAATAATGTTTTCAAATAAATTATATGCTTATTTTCCAAAAGATCTTCAGATGAAAATTCTATTGTGGATTTTGTTTTGGTTTGGTTTATTTTGTCTCTCTTGTGGTGCAAGGGTCCTCTCCTTACAGCAGTATCAGAAACTACTCAATTTTTCCTTGTACTCTAATGATAAAACTCTAATGGTATAAAACTCAAATATTGCAACGTTTGGATTTGCGACAGATACAACTGTATGACATAGGATAAGTACACACTGTAATAGTTTTGAAAGTTCTCTTTTTAGCACTGTGACACTTCTAAGCAGGGAGTTGAAGGTCGTTAAAAGTCGCTTTTGATTTGTTAGTATTACAGATTTTATGACAAAACACGTTTACTTAAAAGCACAAAAGAAAACTGTACATTTTCCTTAAACAGATGGCTGCGCTGCAGAGTCCCTTTTATGGTGATAAAATGAACTTGTACTCCCTGTGCAAGAAGATAGAACAGTGTGACTACCCACCTCTCCCTTCAGATCACTATTCAGAGGAAGTAAGTAATTCTCCTTTTCATGGGCTAGATCCTCAGTTTATCTAAGCTGGCACACTGCCAGGGAAGTAAATGAACTTGGGTGATTTTATGTTATTTGCAGATTATGCCCATAAGCGTTTGCTTGTTGAACTCACTTAAATGTTCCTGTCAAAACAACTCTCTGATAGGATTTTAAATTTGAGGGGTGTAATGATGAAAACCTCATACCGTTAGCTTCTTAATTTCATTGAGCTTCCTTGCAAGTATGACAAAATGCTTTCCCAGAATGCACAATGATATGTTCTTCATGCCAGAATGGGATTGAGTCTTACATTTATAGTGTGCTTTTCTAAAAGCACAACTATGCAAGTTTATGTTGCACAGTAAATTAGTGCACTAGCCTTGTTTCTCTAGGGGCTTGCATTAAAATAGATGTAATGTAACTCACTAGTAAAAATGAATTGCTTAGTTCCCATTTGTCTGCATTGTAAAACTGGGGTATGCCGTTTTATAAAACTGGAGGGCAGTTCTTTTGGAAGAAAGAGTGGTTCTTGACAATGCTAATCATAAATTTCAGAGAAATACAGGCAGACATAATGTAATTGAATTTGAACAGTATACTCATGCATATCGCGGCAGTGTTTTAAGCTGATACGTAACAGTTCTTTACCATCATTAATACATTTAAGGAGGGGTACTTGCTTTTTTAAGCCCTAAAATGAAAAGAAACTAAATAAACCAAATATTTTTCCTAGTGTAATGGAACGAAAAATATAAATGCTTGCTTGTTAATGTTCTGAGATGCTAGTTTTGAAATCCTTTCCCACTTTGAAAACAATAGGGCAAATGGCTAGAAGCTGTAAACCAAAGAGCACATATTAGTAGCCAATTCTAATTGAATATAGCCTACATGAATTAAAGATTACTTTGAAAGCACAAATAAGCACGAGCAGTAAAATACTTCTAATAAACATAAAGTGTTGTGTGATTTCATTTATCGAGTAGGGGCTGTAATTCTGCACCTTAAATTTTTTTTGCATTCAAAGACAGTGATTGGACTATTAATAAAACATTACTGCCCAATGTTTTGTTTTGTATTTATAGTGACAATTTTTCCCCTTTTATGGAACAAAGTGGACTTAAAAAGATAATTCAGTGATCTTACAAAGGATGAAATAATGATCTATTGTGTAATTTATACGCTATACTTCTTTGTGGGTTTCCCAATTAGTCATTTTACCTTGGCCGTTTTTAATTATTATTTATTGTAGACTATAAATATGGCAGTTCACATAACCAACTTCAGAACTGGAGGCCTAGAAATACAGTAGGGTGTGAACAATAATGCAAAATGATAGCAAGAATGTCAGGGGCCGTTCTTTGTTGTGTCATTCATGCTGTCTTCCTTTTTCCATGAAGCGCATGAATATTTCACATATCTGCATCCTCATCCTCTATTCTTCTTGACTAATTTTCAGACTGTCTGAATTTGCATTTCACATGGTAGCTGATTAGGAGATGCAGAGTGCAGCAGCAAAGCCTCAGCAGGCGGTTTCCATGTCAGCAGGATTTTAATGATGATACCACTAGTGGTTCGTTGAAGTTGTCCTGCCTGCAGGGCTACTTCACTGCAGCTAAGTGTGAAGCTGGATATGTGGATTCCCAGCCAAAGGGCAAATATCAAAGTCTGGCCCAGACAGAAGGTCTTAGAGTTTGGATGGGGGAAGAGATTCCATCTTCTACTTGTATCCGTATAGTTTCTAGTGTTGAAAACAGATTCAAAGCACAACATGTTACATTTTTCTTTATTTCAAAGCAGACGCATATGTCTGTACCTTGGATAAACAGCTATTTACAAAATATGTCTCAGTTATTTTAAAGCATGAGAGGATCAGAGTTACGATAGGTACGAAGATAGCTATGAAAATAGTTACTTGGAAGAAGGAATGAACTATGGAGTCTGTAATGGGAACATTTTTATGTTTTGAAATTAAGACTTGTGTCTTCACTGAGGTACATGGAAAAATACATACGTTTATTAGTTATTGCACTAAACCAGACTTTTTACTTGTAAAAAAAAAAAAAGCAAACAAAGTGTTGTCTGTCATATTAGGATACTGTCCTAATGTTTCACCTGTACTGGCAATTTAGATATCAGACCGTTAAGCAGGTTGGAAGCACACGCAGTGAGCAGTAAAGATCAGAGATCACTGAACAGCAAAACCCGTTTTATATTTTATAACAAAGAATTTTCTGCAAGAAAAATTTCACTGAGTGTTGATCTCTGCATCCTCTGATATAGAGGTGTAAATACTTTCATCACAAAATACAAGACAAGTGCTTTTTAGAGAGACTTTTTGTATGCAAATGTTAATGAGTTTTAAGATGTGACTCTGAATTTTGAACTCTCTGTAAGACCAGCCTTTCAGTAAAGTGTTACATCTGTGCCATCAGAGAATAGAGTGACAGAAAGATGCACCTTAAGATTGATGGACAGGTGGATATTTTTTTAAGAACCTTTAATTAGAAATCCTAATTTCACAAACTATTGCTTCAGCATTAGCATCATAGGCCAAGATTTTCAAATGTTTAACAACTTTGGACATTTCAATTTTTGAATATTGCTTAAGAACATCAGGTATTTAGGTGAGTACTCAACATTTACTGAAAGCTGTTCTGCTTTAGGTATTTCAAAGCTGGGGCTCTCTTGCTGCCCCCAATCAATACTTTTTAAATCTTGTCAGCCAATATTATGTTGTTTTCATGATGGATGAAGTTTTTAAATCTTCCTTTGATTGAGGTTCACTTCTAAAGTCCGTAGCCAGCCACCCACCCACCCAGATGTGAAAGCTGAGTGAGCCAGCAGGTCCACAATGGCAGTATTAATTGCCAGCAGAAGGTTTTGAGAGTGACACTGAGGACGGTCTTCAAGAAGGTCTCCTATTAAGAGTAAGACTAGGGCTTTTTTCTTATCCAAAATTTCCTATATGAAAGTTTCTTTTCCAGCTGGCTAATGCAAAGTACTTGCCTGTCCTATTTCTCTCTTTCCCCCTCCTCCTTCTGACTCAAGTGATAATTATTTATTTCATAGCTGAAAAACCTGCTTGAGTAAAAGAAAGTGTGTCCCACCGCTCCAATGTCAGGCTAAGCTCCAGGCTAAAGGCAGTCATTGTGCTAAGTGCACCAAGGAGGTTAAGAACAATAAGCAGCCGAAGAAGTTTGCAGCTTGGGGATGCAACCGGAGGTCCCTCCAGCTCAGTCATAAGTCTGCTCTGCCTGTTGGCCAGTCTGTGCCAGATAATAAAAAATTACTCTAACTCTAATGATAGTCTGACTTCAGAATCCCAGTGCTTCTTCCCATGGTACTGTTGGGCTCTTAAGCTACATTCGAGATATTATTAATACTAGAGGGCTTGACAAATGGATTTCAGGTTTATTGAAATGGATATTCCTGTAGGAGTTAAAGGAATCGTATTATAACCAAGAATTAGCATCCATCATAGTCCCAATTTCAGCCCTGAAAGACTATCTTCCTGTGTAACTGTTTTCAAACTGTATAGCAAAATTAATTCAGCTTCTCCCAAAGGTTTGCTGTTCAATAACAAGGCTCAAAAGCGCTCAGGATTTTGAGATTACTGTGGAATCTATGCTATCACTGCATCATGATGAGCTAACATGCCTTACAACTGGGATTCTGGACTGGGGAGGGAGAAGGAGATTTTGCAGTAATAGCAGTGGCCGTCAAATGTTAAGACTCATAGGCAAAAGAGGTCTATGACATTCTGCTTTATTTTATTACAGTTGTAGTGAAGGATTGTTACTAATTGTGCTCGCTGCTTGCACTATGTTGGGAAGAGAATTTCTGAGTAAAATGCTTCAGTGACTGTTCCTTAATATAAACATGTTCTTGCATATCCTTTCTTATATCCTAACAACAGTAGCTAAATATTTGGTAAGAATAAGAAATTAGAAGCTGCAAAAGCCACGGTCAATAAGCCATATGGGTGAATGATTTTTGCAAGTGTACTTACTATATTAATAGGACCTAAAGCCTTTACATGTACTTTTGAGCATATTCTGCAGATAAATTACACTGGTATTCTCTTTTTAAAAAAATGTTCACTTATTTAAGTCTAATTTCAGCTTTGAGGTTTTTGCATGTTCTTTGGACTTTCCTGTTTTCCAACAAGCTGCTCATCTCTGTTAGTACATTGTGCCTGTTGCTTACACTGTGTCCCGCCTCCTTCTTCTACAGTAGATAGCTTTGCTTTGCATATTTGCATACATGTAGGAAATAATTATTTGTTAAAGTAGTTCATGATTTCCAGCATTCTAGTCTCCAAATGTTTAGGAGTTAGTACAGGCTAATAGTTTTTCCTGTCAGTGGTATTGTATTTTATTTATTTGCTGCCAGCAGCAATATGATGGCTTTTCTAACTCCATTAGTCAAAATATATGTAGCATATTTAACAATCAAATAGTTACAGCTTATTTTGATGTAATGTTTCTTTTAAATCCAGCAATCTGACTTTCTTCAGAATTAATGATCTCATTTTTAAATATTGAGCTCCTCTTGCTAAAGAAGGGGGATGTCTAGTAACATCGGTTTTGTATTGTTAAATATGAAAAACCTGTACATTGTATACAGTTCACAATGTTTCTGCAAGGGCTAATGGAGAAAGTTATAAATAGTGGTATGCACTGTTTCTTACTTCTGGGCTTCCTGTGCACTTAAATTTATCTTCCGAAAAGTGAAAGAAGTATAATTATAATTGGAAATCCTTGGTCTTTTTGT